AGAATGTAAGGCGGTAAACCATTAGACTGAAACCTTACACCCCAAATGAGTAAAAGCATTCGCTAATACTAATTTATTTACAATAACCTAGTACCTACTTAATTGTTGTCTAAGTGTGGTGTCACACTATGCGTTTTTACCGTTCCCGCTAAAACGGATGCGGTTTGACAGGATGAGATCTACTTGTCACACTATTCCGGTCTAACGGGATGCGTTTTTGCTATATTTTGGCAGTCTAAGTAGTGTCATGCCTCAATTATTGTTAAAGATGGTTTGTGCGTTTGAGGCGGAGGGGTTATTGCGAAAGCAGAATATCCTCAATATTGGATTGATCTTTTTAATTCAGGACGAGAATTAATAATAAAAAATTCGAATGAACAAGAAAATTTTTTTTTGTATATTACCGTCCAAAAATTCAATTTCTACCCATGATTTCTCCCTACAGTTTTTATCTACATACTCTTTAGATTGTTTTTCCCACAGTGCAGTTTTTGCATGCACGCACTCGATGAATAAACCGACATCAAACATTGTAAACCTAATAAAACACCCGATTGCAACGCTCAGTATGACAACTGATGACAACCAACATGCAACAACACGTGGTTGCATGTCATTGTGGTTGTCATGTCATCCTGCGCAGCGGCAGCAGGATGCGGTTGCATCCGGTTGGTGCGGCGAAATCGCATATATGTGACTGGTACCATTTAATAACGTGTGATATTATCATCCCATCAAACAGGAGCGTTTTAGCGGGAGCGGTAAAAACGCATAGTGTGACACCACACTTACATTTCATAATATTTAATGTGCATTAATATACTGACATAGTGTCCGTGTAAACGATGTGTTCATGCACGCAAATCGCACCGTACTTGGACTAACCCATGTTGAGCTTTCCGAGCCTGAAAAAGCACTTCTAATTATTGGAATCTTCTTTTAAGGAATTCCATTAACTCCTGCAGGGATGGTGTTTTGTTTGACGTCGTTAGGGACTGATCGAACTTATTTGACTCTGCTTCCCATGTCCGTGCTATGATTATTGTGGCTACTATTGGATTCCATGACATGGTTTCGATCCCATGATTGTTGATTGCCTTCAGACGCTCGTGGGTAGTGTCATGCAATCTTCTTATGCCGTATGCCAATTCTTGTTCAATTTTGGAAAAATCTAAAATTTGATCAATTAGTTTTCCTCTCGTTATTGTATCGGCTCAATTTCTATACCTTGTGCTATAGTGAATCTTATTTTATAGTAGATGTTAAATTTGAAGAGGTTTGAATGAGTGTGGCCAACCCGCTCTTTAACCGTGAGCGTAAATAAAGTGATCACTTTATCCGCAAAGGTAGATAAAGTGAAAGAGCTGATTATGCAATGCATTCTAATGACATCTGTAATTCTTATTTTAAATGGGACGCGGAGCACGATATAAACTGGCGTTCAGACCATATGACAATGCTGTTTCTACGAAAATGGCTGCGACGGCAGAACCTAAGTGTGCTATTCTTGACGTCTAAATTAAATTCAGAATTGTCAGAAGCTTTAGAACGATTTATATGGCTTCTATCATAAAATAAAGTTTCTATCATACACGACGATAAAGGGAAATTAACCATCTCGTGAAAGTTAATTCACTCAACGGTTAAAATATCCCTTTTTTGTCTAATATAATAAATATTACTATTACTTAAATGTCTCCAGATGACTTGTATGATTTTTGATTGTATAGTACAATCAAAGACGTATGAGTAAGAAAAAGAAACTGGTTTGTGTATATAAAAGCACACAAATATTTCAAATTTGCTTTAAGGAACGTCAACGTGTATTTGTTTTTATAATAAACACAGCCACCACATGACAAAATCTCAAGCTTAAATTAAATGTAGTTGCTGTTCGAATATCGCTATTGCTTAGCAAGTTGAAACAACACCTTAGGGCACCTACCTATAAATAGACGTATAAATCTTGTCTCAACTATAATGCAAGAAAATTCTTGCACACATGCATTTATAAACTTACTTCCCTATCGATCAGGTATGCACAATTTTTATTGTTTGCGGTGGTGTTCCTAAACGATGTTCTGTAGAAGAGCAATTTGCTTGATGTAGTCTCATTATTATGTCACACCTTTTCTCCACTGGCATGTTGAGAATTCCCTCGAGCAACTCACATCTTCACTTTATTTCGTAAAGCATATGTTCACCATATTATGTTTGTACAGGAATGTATGTACGCTTTCGTGCTTTTTATACGCGATTTTATAGCAAAACGGTTGGTGGTAAAGATCCTTTTATTTTGCTACAAGCACTTTTTGACCATTTACATAAACAATGTTAACGAAAGGACGAGTTCTAATGCATGGTAATAATAGTTTGTGAGATGTCAGTGACACTATCAGGCTTTTCATTGGAAAAATACCCAAATTTTGCAATCCTTGTAACCATCAGAGAGATTGGAGATAATCAGTACTTACCTGTATGTTAATAAACGTCCACAGAAAGAGAAATTTATTAGTGAATTATCAATACATGTAGACAATTATTCCCACTTAGTATTCATTGTTTTGCTAATAATATGGTGATTTATTCATCTATGCTGATAAGCTAACGAATTAATGCTACGCGAGCGCATTTAGTATGTGCGGTAAATAAAAAACCGCACTCACATTAATATCGTAAGGGTTGCTGGCGGTAGCTGCAGAAGACACATAGACGAATGAGCTTTACATAATAAAAGGGTTGAAGACCACTTTTACTCTGATCCCAACTTCCGACGTCGGGCCTGAATTTTTTTCTAATTGAAATGATTAATTAATTCGCGGCTAGCATGTATTAGATGAATAATGTGAAATAGACGTTACTATTTTGTTTAATAGTCCAGGCTAAACAGCTCTAAAATAATTTATTTTCAAAAAAAATTAGTTTCCGGGCGAAACCGGGTTTTTCAGGCAGGTGAAATGAATAGAAATTGGGAAAAATAATTAAAACAGCTGAATTTTTCCGCGGGTGAAATCCCGGGGGTTGAAAGAGGTGGAAAGTGGTGTTTTGCAAATTGTGGCAAAACTATTAACTTTAGACGAAAATGTTAAATATAAAAGATATAGAGATTTAAAAAATGAGCAAATTTTGTATCTGCACTATTTTCAGATAGCCTCCAATTTTCCTAGAAAAACCGGGAAAACTGTTTTTTTCGTTTTTTATTCTTATTTTTGCGAAAAACTGTTGTAGGGGTTTGAAATTCGGAGGAAACATAGCTTGTTTTATGATAAAAAAAGATGGGCCTGTACAGTTGAACCGTTTCCAAGATCTCACAATTTCTGAAAAAAAAACCACCTCTTTTTCAGGAGGCCGTCTGAATTCAGAAGGGGGCGTTCTATAACAGATCACAACACATAAAAGGGATAGTGAATCGCGCTGTACATAACATTTGCGAAATAGCAATGCTAACGTTTGACACGGAGGCAATCATATATTAAATTGTAATTAATACTCAAAAAGAGTGAATGAAAATGAATCTTCATAGTAATCAGAACGTAATGTAGACACAATCGGGATATCGGTACTCAAAAAAAAGCGACAAAAACAAAGTACGTACTATCAGGTATAACGGAGTGATTTACAAAACGATAATCTCCAAAGGGGTTTCGTTAATATTTGATTTAGGAACTATCTTTAAATCTCCAGTTGTTGAACAAGTACCATGTATAGGTCACAGGTAGAATCACATGTTTGGTTGGACTAAAATGGAGGGGAAATCTGCCGGAAATGTAGAAACTCATCTATCAATTGACGCACCAAACTCAATTCTTAATAAAGTGGCGGGTCCAAATAAAAATGCACTGCATCCAAAGAAACTATGCAAATACAGATCCGTAAAATCGATTCAATGGAGCCTCGACACACATCAAAAGAATCTTTGCTGCCGAGGAAAAATACAACTCGTAGGCAAGTAAAACGTAAATACCTAGATGGCGTAAGGATATAAAATTTACATTAGAGCGAAAAGAATTCGTGAGTATATTTCGAATGTTGAACGAAATATTACATTTAATTTTGGCTAAACGGAAAATTTAAAAAAATAAAATTTATGCTGGACTTCCATGTAACAAGCTTTACCTATTGTGCTCTTGGATAACACGTCACTCTATCCCTCAAGACGATTAGCACTCGTGAGGTATACAGCGTATTATTGTGGTCCTGAGCGAACGTATTACGGTTTCAAGCCATAACAATGATTTCGATATTTAAATTTTACCTGTCGTATTGCATTTCACCCGCTCTTTAAAATGAGCCTATAACTGAAACATTACTTTGGTATTTAACCCAGGGTAATCTGATTCCTCGCGCTTTGAATACAGGAATATGAGTTTCGTGAATATGTTACCAGTGAACTGAAGTTATACAAAATAATGTACAAAATATATTTCTATGATTTGAGTGTTTAGCACAATGAATAATATAGTAATGCGCATAAATATTCAGTATTTCTCTTCTAATATAAGTAGTACGCATTACTTTACTGTGAACGCTACCCTATTTAAATTTTATAAATGCGCAGAGACATGGTAGTCGTTAAATTCAGAAAGGATAATGAAACTGGGTTACCACGTTTTCCAAGACTCTTTCGTTCCTTTTTCTCATTTCGAGATGTTTCCGCCTGCCATTTAGTTCATATTCTTGTAGATGCTTATTTAATTGGTTGTGTCTATACGTAAAGGAACTCAAACCAATCAAGCCAGCTGTCGGCGTTTCCATGAGCAGTTTTTGACATGTAACAGAGTTTCTTGTCATTGTCAGTTAGGCGCTATTCACAGCTTGATACTTAAACGAAAGCCTGTAATTAAGTGGGCGATTTCTTAGACACTAATTCATTATATGTTTACGTCAACTGTTTACGTATAGAAAGTGTATGAATTAAAAATGTGTCCATTATTCTGCTTACCACAATAAAAAAATACCTAACAAAAAGTAGTTTTTTTAATAGACGTGTTTAACAATTCATTGATTTTACAGGAGCCATAATGGGCAATATTGTAAGGACGTCAACTAAAAAAGCACAATAGTCATGCAAATCAACATCTTGAAAAATATGAATACAGGAACTGGACATCAAGGTAAGTGTAGGTACTAAGGTAATAGGTATCCGAAAGAAATGCATACAGAGCGATCATACCAATGTGAACTTGCGGCTCTTATGAAGCAAGATTTTTAAACACATATAGATACTGCACCATTACTGTATGTATATTATACCTCTAAAGCTAAACCACTAAACGTAATCGTCCATTTGATTCATTACTTGCATCGATCTTTACTAATTTTCTCGGAAACGAATCAACCAATTTAAAAAAATCAAACGTCGAAATAAAGGACCGCGAAAGACCTTTCAAACAAGCTGTTACTCGATACCACTTGTCATTTAAAATTTCTAAGGGAATGACCCTGGGGGACAGAGGGTGAAAGGGGGTAAAGTAGTTTTTTTTTAAATTGTCCCCCTTGACAAATCTTTTGACGCACCCTCCGTGAAAGAAGTATGTTTTTTTTAATTTTGTTGCTAACTTTTATAGTGATATGTTATTATTTTTACCTGATCTAAAACAGCTTCGGATAATACTTTCACCAATCGATGTGATGTTGCTGCCAACTTTGAGAAAGGGCGCCAGACGTGAACAAGTCACGATAAAAAGTAAATAAAAATATGGTGGGTATACAGGGTGGTGCCTAGCGCGACGCAGCATAGGGATTTCAATGGTAATTTCTTTATAGTCAATTACTAGCTCCCCTAATTATTTTAGAGCAAAAGTCTAAATAGGTTTTTTTCAGAGAAAAAAATACTGCATCTGTTCATACTATTACTCATAATTTTCCGTTTTTCAAAACCGTAGAAATCGACAAAATAAAAAGGTTCATTTTACAATAAATCAGATATGCCTTGGAATTACCTAAAAAAACAGCGATAACTTTTCATTATTTGCCTTTGACGTATATTAAATTTATACTTGTTTATAAGTTGAGTAACTGAAGAGAAAGAGGAAATGTTAAAGTTGTTTTATGCCCGCCAAGTAATAACGTCTGTATTTACTGTGCAGTACCCCAATCGACGGATTCCAAGCAGTACCACAGTAGACAGAATTGTGGGCAAGTTTCAAAAACAGGAACAGTGTTAAATCACTGCAATAACGTTCAAAATGTCTATCAAAATCATTAGGAAAAGGGAAACGACAATACATTCATCGTTTTGGCTGCAGTAGAGGAAAATCAGAAGTTGAAGAACAATTCTTCCTCAAATCAATTTCTTTTTCTTCGATTATGTACTCTGGTTCCGGAAGATGATAAACAAATAGTATCTGGTGCATAGATGCAGCATTACATTCTCTAAAAAAACTACTCCATAGACGCTTTTTCTTGCGTCGGTTAGTTGAAACAGAATTAAATATGAAAATCGTTCGACGTCAAACAACGTTAACTTAGATGCGATGCGCTTGTAGTTTGCTAAAAGATTCCAAAGCATCACTGATTTATAAAAATGTAATTTTTTATTTTGTGGATTTCTACGGTTTTGAAACACGGAAAATTATGAGTAATAGTATGAACAGGTGCAGTATTTTTTTCTCTAAACAAACCTATTTAGACTTTTGCTCTAAAATAATTAGGGGAGCTATAAGACTATAAAGAAATTACCATTGAAATCCCTATGCTGCGTCGCGCTAGGCACCACCCGGTATAAACTCTTGTCTTCGCAAAGAACAATACATATACACAAATGATATCTAATTGCATAAAATTGTAAATAAAATGGCAATCCTTTATTTCACGTAATCAACTGTACAGCAAATCGTCACGACAGTAGCAAAAATTTACGGGCAAAGGAAATGTCACAGATAACAGAAACGGTACTTCATCGATAGGGCTGTTTTAATGCTCGTTACACCAATGATACACCCAAAAAGCTACAATACCAATATCAGATCAAAGTCAAATTAATTTAAACCATTAATAATTGGGTTTCGTACTGCGATACAAGCAAAAAAGGGGTAGGTAATTAAATTAAAACATATTCCCTAAAAAGAAACGTGGTTAACCAAATAAGGACAATAACTTTAAATTCAGTAAATACGGTTAGATATATAATTTTGATAATTTTAACTGGATGGCGTTTTAAATTTTCCATTTCGAAAAGTCATTTCAACGACAAAAGCATGATATGCTCCCATTCCCATTTGTACCAACTTACGCTCCTAACTAAGGGTACATTCAACGCAAAAACGTAACGTTACAATGTCGCAGTAACAGAGGTTCTCACAACGGGAATGTATTGGGTGGGGTCTCACTCGAAGTAAAGCTGTGTGACCCGCCTGGTCGCTCAAAATAACCCATACATAAATACAAAATACTGAAATGCTGAAAAGACTATCACCGCCACTATTCGTTATTGAAAATGGCTTCAAAACGCCACAAACAAAATTTAGTTGCATTTATTTTCACAAACCATTTTTAAATTACACCGAGGCGGGTCCAAATGACACAAGGCTCTAAATTAACTGGGTTAGTAAACATACGTGACAAAATTAAAAAGCAATTACACAGAATACAAAATTACACCTTAACTTTCCTCAGCACTACTTAAATTAAATCCAACCCAATCAAGTTTAATGTTGAGTAACCAGCACAGAACACAATAATAGAAGTATGTCACTTACTTTTACACACTTGCATGTTCTTTACGTTGCGCACTTCTTTTTGTTGAATTCAGATGCACTTCTTCCAAACACTGCCTTTTATAAATAAATAAGCGTTATAACGAATCCATCTCTGGATCTGGATTACGATAGGAGGATGGACTAATCCACCCGTACCTAGTCCTCAAATTCGGGGCCTTTGTAATACCTATCTCACTAGAGTTGTCATACTCCTCAACGTCACTCAATTCATCCCATGTCCAGCCAGGATACCCCCAACATGGATCGCCTCAGTTGGACTAAAATGAGCCATTCCCCAGGTAAGTGGCGTGCCGTCTCATCGTCTGTGTAACACTCTCTACAAGATGGCGATTCTACCAAACCCTTGCGGTGCATGTGTTTGTTTATCTTGCAGTGGCCAGAACGTATTCTCAGGCTCTTTCTTTATAGCCCTGTGCAAAAACGCACCAGGCTACGAGATAGAAGGCTTCTCTCGTATGGCGACAATCTAACATCATGTTTCACCTAGCGCTGTGCTGGGTTTGGGTGTCTTGAGTTATTAGACTGTTTGCAGTTGCAACTGTAAGTGAGAGAGCCGGCACTGGACCATAAAACACCTGTTTTGACAGATCAGGCGACCTAACTCATCGACTTTCTCATTACCTTCCGTTCCAACATGCCCTTTGATACATGCGAGCTCAAGGATGTTGCATGTTGACATACGGAAACCAACCACAGTGACAAAGTGGAGATTCTGATAGTTTTGTTCTTTACATTAAATATGAATAAGAACTTCCTTTTGCACTAAGCATTAGTCCTATTACATCAGTCCTATCAACTCTGATTGGAATACAGAAGAAAGTTCGCCTAGTGGTGGGGTGATATGAAAGTTCAGTTTTTTGGAGTAAATACCAGCGCCTGTTCCTTTCATTGTTTAAGATTCTTCCGTAAAGATGATTATGTCTGCTTGGGATGCCATATCCCCATTAAGAAAAATGTGATATTTTTTCCCTGATAAGAATTGAGGAGTTCTAGGTTAGGCAATCGCTTAATCACCTCGCCCAAAATACGAGAGTGACCCTCAATACCTCTGCTATTCATCAACCCCTTATTTTTGAGATGCAAGGATGCCAGAGTGGCCTGCTCTCTCACTTGGCGATCTAATGGAGGCAGGACCCAGAAGAACCTCCATCACGGCTGTGGGAGTAGTCCGCATCGCACCCGTATAAGCAAGGCACGCAAGTCTTTGTACATTTTCACTGGATTAAGAAGTGCTACGATTGTAGATAGTCTGGTTCTAAGCCACCAGACAATTTCGTATCCCGGAAGTGTAAAACCACAAGGCAGCCTTCGGAGTTGGTCCCCAAATTCTCCCAATTGCGCGGCGACTTTGGGAGAAAGCCCTATTTGCTTTGATCTGAATATGTTTGCTCCATTCTAGTTTTTTGCCAATGATTCCTTGGTATTTCACTAACTCGGAAAATTGAAGGTGTTCTTGGAATAGCAGGGGAGTTCGAAGACACGCTACCTTTCTTATTCTTGTGAAGAGAACTAGCTCCGTTTTTGTTAGGTGGATGGACAGGGAGTGTTCTCTACACGATTTTTCGGTTGCTCTAGGATCTTAGTTGCACAAATATCAAAAGGTGGGGAGGGGAGAGGCGTTTCTTGCACAGTGATCACTTTAAAATTTTAAATCTGGCGATTTTTGTAATAATAACCTAGTTATGTCTATGATTCCTTACTTATAACGTTGAGTGAAAGAATCCTTCACTGATCGGTTAAATAAGTTGTGCACTTTCGACTTTTAATATCTATCGCAAGAAATCGTCTTCACAAGCAAGGTAGCAGAGATATTTTGGTCTTTTAAGACTCAAATAACATATTTATCTTATGAAAATAAGAAACATAGTACCTCACTACTAACTTTTGGATCGCGGCCCGCTTGACCCTAGGGCGATCCTGAGTGGCCGTCACCGTCTGTTGATAGAATATTTCAAACCATTAGGAAACATTTCGCAAATGTTAGCGGATATTGATTAGAAACCATGTTTTGAAAAGAAGCAAGTCAACATTTGTCCTAACAAGGAAACGCACACAATTAATCAGCTACCAGTACAATAGCCAGCTCAAATTATTAAACCGCAAAGTGGAGGGTTGCTGTAATCCCTAGAGTAAATTGTCGAATATATCAAAACGTTCAAAAAGAGTCTTTAATTCATTAACGATTAGGCAAATTGTAGTGGTTGGTGAAAATCGGAAACATTTAACTAACTTTGTGCGGCCACTAAATCCTCAACCAAAAGCCATGTACAAACAGTTTTATGAGAAATTTTCCATTTGTTTACCTACTAAAATACACCAAAGGCCGCTTGACATAACATAACGTACATTAAACTTCCATATGAATAAGCTTTCGTGGTACGTCGGGGAGCATT